TTCTGTACACAGTGCTCCAGATGTGGTCTCACCAATGCCCTCTATACCTGAAGCTCCTGACTCTTGTGTTCAATTCCCCCTCGCGATAAACCATTACATTCTAACAGCTTTCTCAATTTGCCCAAAAGCCTTTCTCTTATGGGGCCAGCTTGTGGGTCTGGGGGTATGATTCTCTCTTAGGGTTCTTGTACAGTGTTGAGATACGAGTGGTCCTGGGCTCAACTCCCAGACGAGCCCAGATTTCTTAAGATGGCGCAGTGGCTCAGTGGTTAGCACTGCTGCCTCACAGCCAGGGACCCAGGTTCACTTCCACCCTCGGGCACCTGTCTGTGTGGAGTTTGCACATTCTCCCTGTGTCTGTGTGTGTTTGCTCTGGTTTCCTTTAACAGCCCAAAGATGTGCAGATTAGGGTGGGTTGGAAACAGACCCTTTGGTCCAACTCATCCATGCCGACCAGATACCCCATATTAATCTAGTCCCATTTGGCCCATATCCCTCTAAATCCTTCCTATTCATGTACCCATCCAGGTGCCTTTTAAATGTTGTAATTGTATCAGCCTCCACCACTTCCTCTGGCAGCTCATTCCATACACGCACCACCCTCTGTGTGAAAAAGTTGCCTCTCAGGTCCCTTTTAAATCTTTCCCCTCTCACCTTAAACCTATGCCCTCCATTTTTGAACTCCCCTACCCTGGGGGAAAAGACCTTGGCTATTCACCTTATCCATGCTCCTCATGATTTTATAAACCTCTATAAGGTCACTCCTCAGCCTCCAACGCTCCAGGGAAAATAGCCCCAGCCTATTCAGACTCTCCCTGTAGCTCAAACCCTCCAACCCTGACAACATCCTTGTAGATCTTTTCTGAAACCTTTCAAGTTTGTCAACATCCTTCCTACAGCAGGGAGACCAGAATTGCCTACAGTATTCCAAAAGTGGCCCTAACCAATGTCAATAAATTGAAGCCCTTTTGTCTCTCTATAAGGAAATCGATTCTAAAAGTAGAGAAGTTGCTGCAGCTGTACAAGGCATTGGTGAGACCGCGGCCAGAATGTTGTGTACAATTTTGGTTTCCTCACTTGAGGAGAGCTGGCGTTGTATTGAAAGCAGTTCACAGGATATTCGCTCAATCGTTTCCAGAGATGAGGGATCTGTCTCATGACATCGAGCAGTTTACATCTAAACTCTCTGGAGTTTAGCACAACAAGAGGAGATCTAATTGAGGTCTGTAAGATGCTAAGGGGTGATAAGACCATCAGAACATAAGACATAGGAGCAGAAATTAGGCCATTCGGCCCATCAAGTCTGCTCCGCCATTCAATCATGTCTGATAAGTTCCTCAACCCCATTCTCCCGATGTCTCCCCATAACCCTTGAGCCCCTTGATAATCAAGAACCTATCTATCTCCATCTTAAATGTACTCAACGACCTGGCCTCCACAGCCTTCTGTGGCAGTGAATTCCATAGATTCACCACTCTCTGGCTGAAGAAGTTTCTCCTTATCTCCGTTCTAAAGGGTCTTCCCTTTACTCTAAGGCTGTGCCCTCGGGTCCTCGTCTCTCCTACCAATGGAAACATCTTCCCAACATCCACTCCATCCAGGCCATTCAGTATTCTTTAAGTTTCAATTCAATCCCCCTTCATCGTTCTAAACTCCAATGAGTATAGTCCCAGAGTCCTCAAACGTTCCTCATATGTTAAGCTTTTCATTCCTGGGACCGTTCTTGTGAACCTCCTCTGAACCTGCTCCAGGGCCAGTACATCCTTCCTGAGATATTGGGCCCAAAGATCATCAAGAGATCATCAAAGAAGATGTAGAGAGGGTGTTTCCTCAAGTGGGGCTGTCTGGAATGAGATGTCACAGTTTCAGGTTAAGACTCCAGCAGATTTAAAACAGAGGTGAAGAGAAATTGTCTTCCCACCTTGACTCAGCCTTCTGCCCCGGGTCCAATCCCTACCCACATACATCCATGATTCATCTGACCCCTTATGCTGGTTTCAAAACTTCCAGTTTACCTTCTTTACCATGGATGTGCAATCCCTTTACACGTCCATTCCCCACCAGGAGGGTCTTAGGGCTCTCCGCTTCTTCCTGGAGCAAAGGCCTGAACCATCCCCACCCACCAGCATCCTCCTCCGCTTGGCCGAGCTCGTCCTCACCCTCAACAACTTCTCTTTCAACTCTTCTCATTTTCTTCAGGTCAGAGGGGTTGCCATGGGTACCCGCATGGGCCCTAGTTATGCCTGTCTCTTCATGGGGTACGTGGAACATTCCTTGTTCTAGTCCTATTCCGGCCCCCACCCACAACTCTTTCTCCAACACATCGATGATATCATAGGCGCTGCTTCCCTCTCTCGTCTGGAATTGGAGCATATAAACTGACGTTTTCCCAGCCACCATCGGTTCTGAGGACCCGAAACGCTACCTCTGTTTTTTTCTCCTTCACAGATGCTGCCAGACCTGCTGAGCTTTTCCAGCAACTTCTGTTTTTCTGTTGTGAAGAGAAATTAGTTCCTCTGAAAGGGTTACGAATCTGTGGAATTCAATAGGCCAGAGGGCAATGGTTGTGGGGCCGTTGTTTTTTAAGAAGATTAAAAGACGAGATTTTACTTCGCAACAGGCGACAGTGTAGTAGTTTGGGATGAGGTGAGACCAGAATGACCAACTGTGGCTCCCGGTTCTCATTTCCTCCCAATTATAGGAGATGGGCGTCCCTTTCTGAGCAGCTCGTTGTGACGGCGGAAGTGCGAACGGCATTTTAAACTCGGCAAACAGGTTCAGCTCCCCACCTGCCCTCCTGGTTCCGGTTCCACAAGTTTGAAACCGGGATTGGCAGGAACCTGGTGTCTCTGCACAGCGCTGCTAACCTTCTGAGTTAACCCCTGGCTCTGACAGTGAGCCCACATAACTATTTGGAATAGTGTGGGGTTGGCGCGCGCACACACACACACACACGCGCAAGCAGAGAGTTAGATCTCTCAGTCTGCACAGGGCCGTGCTGAAGAGGAGATTGTGTATTCTGCACTGTGTGTGCCTGAGAGGACAGGAGCTGTACTCACTGAAGAAGAATCAGGTAAATACTCCCTATTTATTTCAGATCCCCCTTCCCCTCCCCCATTTCTGAAGAAGGGTCTAGGCCCGAAACGTCAGCCTTCCTGCTCCTCTGATGCTGCTTGGCTTGCTGTGTTCATCCAGCTCTATCCACCTTCTTATCTCAAATACTTTGGCGAGCGGGTTGGGGTGGTTCCAACTTTTTACGTTGTTGCTTCGTTCTCAGACCGCAGAGAGTCCCCAACACATCGCCACTCTCTCCCTGAGCCATCTCTTACCCCAGACATCCCTGACAATCTCTGCCCTCCCATATACCTCCGATTGCCCCTCTCCCCTTGTGAAAGTTCCTTTCGAATCTGCTTCCTTCGCCTTCCTAGTCATAGAGTCACACAGCACGGGTACAGATCCTTTGGCTCAACTCGTCCATAGTGACCAGGGTTCCCTAACTGAACTAGTCCCATTTAGAATCATAGAGTCATAAAGTCATACAGCATGGATACAGACCCTTCGGTCCATGTCATTCATACTGACCAGGTTTCCCTAACTGAACTAGTCCCAAATAAAGCCATAGAGATGTACAGCATTGAAACAGACCCTTCAGCCCAACTTATCCATGCCAACTAGATATCCTAAATTAATCCAGTCCCATTTGCCTGCATTTGGCCCATATCCCTCTAAACCCTTCCTATCCATGTCCCCATCCAGATGCCTTTTAAATGTTGTAATTGTACCAGCCCCCACCACTTCCTCTGGCAGCTCATTCCATACACGCACCACCCTCTGTGTGAAAAAGTTGCCCCTCAGCTCCCTTTTAAATCTTTCCCCTCTCACCTTAAACCTATGGCCTCTACTGTTGGAATCCCTTACCCTTGGGAAATAGACCATGACTATTCACCTTATCTATGCCCCTCATGACTTTATAAACCTCTATAAGGTCACCCCCTCAGCCCCCGATGCTCCAGGGAGAATAGCCCCAGCCTATTTAGCCTCTCCCTGTAGTTCAAACCCTCCAACCCTGGCAACATCCCTGTAAATCTTTTCTGAACCCTTTCAAGTTTCACAACGTCCTTCCTGTAGCAGGGAGACCAGAATTGAACACAGTATTCCAAAAGTGGCCCGAACCAATGTCCTGTACAGCCCCAACATGACCCTCCCAACTCCTATACTCAATGCACTGACCAATAAAGGCAAGCGTACCAAACACCTTCTTCACCGCCCTGTCTACCTGCAACTCCACTTTCAAGGAACTATTTACCTGCACCCCAAGATCTCTTTGTTTGGCAACACTCACTTTGCGCATTCCAGATCATAACCGCTCATTGTGTTAAACAAAAAATGGCTTTCATGTGCTTTCAGCTTCCCCTGCTAATAGTCTTAATTAATCCATGGGTTCATTCATTCCCTCCACAGTTATGGCAGGGATAGCTCAGTTAGCTGGATGGCTGGTTTGCAATGCAGGGAGATGCCAACAGCTTGGCTTCCATCCTTGTACCAGCTGGGGTTACCATGAAGGACCTTCCTTCTCAACCTCTCCCTCCTGAGGCGTGGCGACCCTCAGGTTAAACCTCCACCAGTCCCCCCTCTCTCTCTCTGATGAGGAAAGCAACCTTATGGCGACATACCCTTTTTGTATTTTACACAATCCTTCCGAATTGGAAAGCTGACGAGTGCTGTGCCTCCTGGGAACTGGGAGTCTCCTTGGTCATCCGAAGAAGGAGGGCCAGCAGAGGCTAGATGAACGAATGGACTTTGGGAACCACTGAGGGCCAGAGGAGCTCTCTCTGATTCCCCATGGGTTAGATGACAACAAGAGGTGGGTCTTGGAAATTATGTTCTAATTTGGAGGGGATTGAAGGATCCAATATGGACTGACTATGTCCTCTTCTGGGAATAAAGGATGAATACAGAGGGGTCCCTGGATTTATGAGGGGCCTACTTTGAAATGCAATCCCACACGGGGTTGTCATTTCAACGATCCAGTATACGAATGTTTCCTGTACGTATGCTCTGCCTCACGTACAAAATCGACTTGAGAGTGGTTTGAATCCTCTTCAGAACTGCTGAAATCCTGTGGCCTCAAGATTAGTACATTTAGATCAGATGAGACTGAGGGTGAGCTTGCTAACTGAAGACCAAATTGCTTAACGACAGGAGACAGAGGGTGGGGGTGGAGGGTTGTATTTTGGACTGGAGGCCTGTGACCAGCGATGTGCCACAGGGATCGGTACTGGGTTCACTTCTGTCTCTCATTTATATCAATGATTTGGACGTGAATAAAGGAGGACTGGTTAGTAAGTTTGTGGATGACACCAAGACTGGTGGGATAGTGGGCAGTGAAGAAGGTTATCTCAGATTGCAAAGGGATCTTGATCAATTGAGTCGACAGGCTGAGGAGTGGCAGATGGAGATTAATTTGGATAAATGTGAGGTATTACATTTTGGTAAAACAAAGGAAGGACTTTATACAATTAAAAGTAGGGCCTTGGGTAGTGTTGTATAACAGTGAGACCTAGGGGTTCAGGTACATAATTCTTTGAAGCTTGAGACACATATAGACAGGGTGGTTAAGAAGGTGTTTAGCACGCTTGCCTTCATTGCTCAGACCTTTGGGTACAGGAGTTGGGGACGTTATGTTGAGGTTGTACTGGATGTTTGTGAGGCCTTTTCTGGAGCACTGTGTCCGGTTCTGGTCGCCCTCTTATGGGAAGGATATTATTAAACTGGAGAGGGTTCAGAAAATATTTACCAGCTTGTTGCTGGGAATGGAAGGTTTGAGTTATAATGAGAGGCTGGAACTTTTTTTCACTGGAGTGTAAGAGGCTGAGGGATGACCCCATAGAGGTTTATAAACTCACGAGGGGCATGGATAGGGTGAAGAGACAAGGTCTTTTCCTCAGGGTAGGGGAGTCCAAAACTAGAGGGGCACAGGTTTAAGGTGAGAGGGGAAGATTTTAAAAGGGAGCTGAGGGGCAACTTTTTCACACAGAGGGTGGTGCGTGTATGGAATGAGCTGCCAGAGGAAGTGGTGGAGGCTGGTACAATTACAACATTTAAAAGGCATCTGGATGGGGACATGGATAGGAAGGGTTTAGAGGGACATGGGCCGAATGCTGGCAAATGGGACGAGTTTACTTTGGGATTATAGTCGGCATGGACTGGTCAGACCGGAGGGCCTGTTTCAGTGCTGTATGGCACACCCAGTCTTGAAATGTTAGCTATGATTCTCTCTCTGTGTCCCCTCTGGTGTGAAGGTGGGTGGAGTGGGGGCGGAGGGGAGACAGACGAGGGGATGGAGGGGTTTGGTGGCTTACAGTTTTCAAAATCAAAAGGGGTAGAAAGGTCCAATTGGAGACAGGCTGTTCAGAGACTGAGGTTAGGTATCACTTCCTTGTACAGAGGGGTGTGCGAAAGTATAGACCCCTCTCCCTTTTCTCTCAGCCCCACCGCATTCAAACAGAAACGGCCCCCAGGCCAGGAGGGGGTTGATTCTTTATTCATTCACAAGATGAGGGTGTTGCTGGCTAGGCAGCATTTATTGTCCATCCCTAATTGCCCAGAGGGCAGTTAAGAGTCAACCACTTTGCTGTGGGTCTGGAGTCCCATGTAGGCCAGACCAGGTAAGGATGGCGCTTTCCTTCCCTAAAGGACATTAGTGAACCAGATGGGTTTTTCCGACAATCGGCAATGGGTTCATGGTCATCATTATATTCTTAGTAGTAATATTAAATTCAAATTCCACCATCTGCTGTGGTGGGATTTGAACCCAGGTCCTCAGAACATTATCTGGATTAACAGTCCAGTGATAATACCACTAGGCCATCACCTCCCAATAAACTCAAAGCAAGTCGAATAGATTTTTATCGAGTGAGAAGTTTGAAGGGTGTGGAGTGGATTCGGTTCAGCCTGCTGCAAAGGGGTATGGGAGCGAGGCAGTTGGACAGAGTTAGAGTCCAGGTGGGATAGAATGTGGCTGAATGGCCTCCTCTGCACCCCACACTTGTGTGTGCAATCAACAAACGGTCCATTTCTCTGCATTAATGAGCCCGTCTGATTTATCTCTCACAGAGCAACATCGAGTGAAAGTGGGAGCGAACGCTGCCTAGTCATGGGGCATCTGACGTTTCTGTTCTTATTTGGTAAGGTATCTCTCTGTCCTGTTACTCCATGCCAGGGTGTAACCTTCATACGGATTCCCCACTCACACCCTGACTTTGAAAATATACCAAAGGAAACGGAGAGAGAGAAAGTCATGGAATAAAGGCAGTTTCCAGACTTATCGCTAGTGGAGAGAAGTGTTCCATATGGACTGACCCTGGGATATCCCAGCTTTGAGAATTCCCCATCAGGAGGCCATTCAGCCCCTCAACCATTCAACAAGATCCTGTTTTGTTTTCAAACTTAACCTACTTTTCAAATTAACCTGATAGCTTCAGACAGATGTTATGGCAAGCATCTGGGACTTGAACTCGGTTCTTCTGGTCCAGGAGTAGGGACACTACCACTGCTCCATAAGAGGGCCCCAATGCGATCATGGCTGATCTGTGGCCTAACTCCAAACACCTTTCTTTGGCCCATATCCTTTAATAGTTTCATTGAGCAAAACAAAAAAAATCCACCTCCAATTTAAGATGAACAACTGCTCGAGCGTCAACTGCCATTTGAGGAACATAAGAACATAAGAACTAGGAGCAGGACTAGGCCGTCTGGCCCTTCGAGCCTGCTCCGCCATTCAATAAGATCATGGCTGATCTCTTCGTGGACTCAGATCCACTTACCCGCATTCTCACCGTATCCCTTAATTCCTTTATTGTTCAAAAAAAACTACCTTTTTTTTAGAAACATTTACTGAAGTAGCGTCAACTACTTCACTGGGCAAGGAATTCCATAGATTAACAACCCTCTGGGTGAAGAAATTCCTTCTCAATTCAGTCCTAAACCTGCTCCCTCTAATCTTGAGGCTATGCCATCTTGTCCAAGCTTCACCTGCCAGTGGAAATATCCTCTCTACTTCTATCTTATCTATTCCCTTCATAATTTTATGTGTTTCTATAAGATCCCCCCTCAATCTTCTGAATTCCAATGAATATAATCCCAATCTACTCAGTCTCTCCTCATAAGCCAACCCCCTCAACTCCGGAATCAACCTAGTGAACCTCCTTTGCACCCCCTCCAGTGCCAGTACATCCTTTCTCAAGTAAGGAGACCAAAACTGCACACAGTACTCCAGGTGTGGCCTCACCAGCGCCTTGTACAGCTGCAACATAACCTCTCTGCTTTTAATCTCAATCCCTTTAGCAATGAAGGACAAAATTCCATTTGCCTTCCTAATTACTTGTTGTACCTGCAGACCTACCTTCTGTGATACATGCACAAGGACACCCAGGTCCCTCTGCATGGCAGCATGCTGCAACTTTTTACCATTCAAGTAATAATCCTTTTTACTATTACTCCTACCAAAATGTATGACTTCACATTTATTTACATTGTATTCCATCTGCCAGACCCTTGCCCACTCACTCAATGTATCTATGTTCCTCTGCAAAGTTTCACAGTCCTCTGCACACTCCAAACCTCTACTACCCTTTGTGTGCCAAAGGACTCCCTAACATCTGTCATTCCCAGATTCTGCTCCCTCGTTCTAAAGTCACCAACCAGTGGAAGAGTTTATCTTGATCGACCCTGTCTTTCCCTCCTTAGAATCCCTACAGTGCGGAAACAGGCCCTTCGGCCCAACAAGTCCACACCAGCCCTCAGAGCATCCCACCCAGACCCACCTAATCTACACATCCCTGAGCAATTTAGGCTCGGGGGTCACGTAACTGTTTTCCTGTTAATACCTTGATCAGATCATTCCCTTGACCTTCCAAACTCTGTCCCTCAGCGTTGTTGAGTTTAATGGATGCTTTACCCTTTAGCAATCATAAGACCGTAACCCACAGGAGCAGAAATTAGGCCATTCGGCCCATCGAATCTGCTCCACCATTCAATCATGGCTGATAGGTTCCTCAACCCCATTCTCCTGCTTTCTCCCCGTAACCCTCCATCCCCTTGATAATCAAGAACCTACCTATCAGTTTTGCTCCCCTCTCTTTATCTGGGCTACCCGCAAGGAGCGGGTATCTTTGGGTGCTGGGGTTCTTTGTCTCTAAACAACCCTACCCCCCAAGAGTGGAAACCCTAGTTTTGAGTTTTACAACTGGGCCTGTCAATCATGTGCAGGGATATGGAGAAAAGCCAGGGTTTTGGGCATGAATGATTAATAACGGCTGCCTCATATCAATCCTGTGGATCTCTGATCACACTCGAATGAGCCGAAATGGCCTGAATCCTGATTTGTAAATCCATCTGACGATACTCATTGGAGATTAGAAATGTGGAACCAGTGGGGTCACAGTCTAACCGAGATGGGATAGGACTGAGATGAGGAGAAATGTCTTCACCCAGAGAGTGGGGAGCCTCTGGAATTCTCTGCCACAGGAAGAGGTTGACACCAAAACAGTGAATGTTTTCGAGAAGGTGTCAGCGATAGTTCTTAGGGCGAAAGGGATAGAAACATCGAAGATAGGAGCAGGGAGAGGCCAATCGGCCCCTTCGAACCTGCTCTGCCATTCCTCACGATCATGGTTGATCATCCAACTCAACAACATTATCCTGCTTTGTCCCCATAACCTTTGATCCCACTCACCCCAAGTAAAATATCTCGTCGCCTCTTGAATAAATTCAATGTTTTGGTATCAACTACTTCCAATGGTAATGAATTCCATCGGCTCACTACTCTTTGGGTGAAGAAATGGAGGTAAAGAAAGGGTTAAAAAAGGGAGGCAATGGCCCAGCGGTATTGTCGCTGGACTATTAACCCAGCGACCTGGTTTCAAATCCCACCACAGCAGATGGTAGAATTTGAACTCAATAAAATATCTGGAATTAAGAATCTAATGATGACCATGAATCCATTGGGGGAGAATCCCATCTGGTTCACTAATGCCCCTTTAGGGAAGGAACCTGCCATCCTTACCTGGTCTGGCCTACATGTGACTCCAGACTCACAGCAATATTGTTGACTCTTAAACTGCCCTCTGGGCAATTAGGGATGGGCAATAAATGCTGCCTGGCCAGTGATGCCCTCATCCCATGAATGAATAAAGGGTGAAGAAATGTCTCCTCATCTCCGTCCTAAATGGTTTACCCCGAATCCTCAAACTGTGACCCCTGGTTCTGGACACACCCACCATTGGGAACACCCTCCCTGCATCTACCCTGTCCAGTCCTGTTAGGATTTGATAAGTCTCTGTGAGATCACCCCCTCATTCATCTGAACTCCAGCGAAAACAATCTGAGAGTTTGGGGTGGAAGTGGGAACAGGGGACTCAGTTGGATGATCAGCCATGGTGTACTGAATAGCCTCCTCCTCATATTCCGCTTGGGAACCCTGCAGCCCAATGGTATCAATGTGGACTTCACAAGCTTCAAAATCTCCCCTCCCCCTACCGCATCCCAAAACCAGCCCAGCTCGACCCCACCTCCCTAACCTGTCCTTCCTCCCACCTATCCCCTCCTCCCACCTCAAGCCCCACCCCCATCTCCTACCTACTAACCTCA